TTAGTCTGATGGATATGTTGCAATTGAGCTTACCTTTTCCTCTTTTTGAGAAACTGGAGTGTCTGATCAATGACAAAACTGAATTTATCAATTTATTCTTGTATGATTAATGCATGTGCATGCAAAACCTTAAATATCTCAGGATCGCAAAGGTTTTTTTTATCATGCTCCTAAAATTTTACCATGTTTTTTTTCTCTTATTATGTTTTAATTTATCTTTAGTCATCCACTAGAAAACACAGTGAATTCAGAGTGACACTAACCTGAGGAGTGACAAGATGTGAAACTTAAGTAGATAGATGCCCTAAACTCTCTGAACCTCAATTTCCTAAATAGATTCTCAATAAATTGTGGTTATAATAGTATTCAGACTTATGACTCCCTGTCTCATTCAATGGAGAACTCCCTGATAACATCCCATCATTCAGTTGCTCAAACCATCATAGACTATGAGGGTCCAGTCTCTTGAAAATACCACTTTTGGACTGTTCGGTGTTGTAAGTGCAGACACTGATAACTCTCCAGTGTTCCTTATGTAGCTAGTACTCCCCTTTTTTGAGTTCATATAATTGAAATACTCTGTTATGGATGTTCACCTCATCCATTTTTTACCATGGGTTTTTACAGCTTTAGCGTTTGCATCTATGATCCAATTCAAGTTCATTCATATGTGATCTATAAGGTCAATTTAACCTGTGTGTAGACTGTAAGATAGATTTAGCCCACTCATTTTTGTTAAGTATGACAGTCTACATATCTGCTCCAGGGGCATTGTTGGAAAACTGTTGTTCTTCCATCAATAACTCCAATGAAATACATACATACATACATACAGACATACATACATACATACCTGTTACATGTGTTTTCTTGTTCTGTTAATGTGTTTGTTTCTCCAGTCAGTACAATGAGTGCCAGTATAATAATTGTGCCGGCACTGTCTCTAGGAGCTGGGTGCAAACCCTTCAAAGTGGCCCGTCTCTACAGAATTGTTCAGAACATGCTATATCGTTTTCCTTTCTATGCATTGTCACAGTGATACTGAAAGAAAGCCTTATGTCTTTTGCCTTTGTTGGTGGTTTTCGTGACAGAGTTGTGCCTATGCAGGTGAGACTAGCCTGGAACTTGCTGTAGAGAGACAAGGTTGAACTCAAAGCTGCTGTCTGCTAACTCAGCTTCGCACGGGCTTGCTTCCTGTTTTCGGGGCAAATTTCTGAATTCGTTGAGGGTTCAGGGAATAATGTCATCTACAAAACTACTGAGTTTTGCAGTCTTCTGAGTATCATTATGCTCTCCGTTGATGAGGGCCACGTTGAATTTGGCCCAGCAATGCTTTTGGAGCATGGGCATCTTGCACTGTTCGTTATTTTCTTAACATGCTTTGCTAACATCTCCTTTAGGTGGCAGCAGTGGGAGTTGAGGGGTGGCATACAGAGGTCTTGCAATTTAGTTAGCTCAGGCTAGCCTGGTACTCTCAATCCAGGCCTCAGCTTGACTGAGTTCTGGAATTATAGCTCTATACCACCATACCTATGCTCTTCATTTCAAAGGAAATTCTATTCTAAATAGGTTTGTAAATTATTCATCACAGTTGCTCGTTTGTCGGTATGTAGGAGCCCAATTATTTTATGTTGCTCTTTAACTCTGAACTATTGCTAAGTTCTTTTTTGTATTTCTATCATCAACTTTATACTTCGTACAGAAAAAAATATCATGTGTGAATAATTCATCTCTTATTCTGAACTTTTTATTTTTGCTAAGCACTCATGAGATAATATTTAGTAAGGTACTGGCTGTAAGTTTCTGGTGGGGGGATGGTCCTTCTGTATATATGTTTCCCTTATTGTCTGATGAAGAAAACACAGGTTGGTCAGTAGCCGGGCAGGGAGTAAAGGTGAGGCTACCAGAAGAGGAGAATGGTGTGGGGAGGAGGCAGAGAAGATTCACCAGTGAGACGCTATGAAAAGCTGAGGGAGGAGTAACAGGTCTAAGCATTCTCCAGTAAGATAAAGCCATGCGGAAATGCTTAAATTGATAGAAATGGGTTAATAATTAAGAGAGCCAATAAGCCAATAAGAAGCCTAAGGTACCGGCCAAATAGTTTATAATTAATATAAGTCTTTGTGTGTTTATTTGGCGCTGATTGGCTGTGGGACCAGGCGGAAAAGAAACTCCAGCTACAAGTTTCTTATGGATGTCCTTCCCTTGTCGGGTTGAGGGAGCCCATGCACACAGGAGGATCTGTCAGAGTGCGTAGAACGTGATAAGATGCGTTGCTTTTGATGTCGGTGACCATGCCACTCTTCCATATCCGGCTGTGTGGTGAGCTGACCGTGACTACAGTGAGGAGCTGACCTCACCTATCCTGTGTCTTTGCTCTTCTTCATTCCTCTGAAGGGAGCTTCGATTCGTCACTATTTCCCTCCAGCCTAAAATGTCTCATTTAACATTTCTTGTATGACATACCACAAATCTATAGTTGATTACTTTTCTGGGTTTTTTATTTTTTTTCCATTTCGTTATTTTTCCTCTTCTGAAGGATGTTCTTTTAAAATTAAGAATTCTGACTTGGCAGACAATTTTTTGGTCTCGTGGCTCACAATCAGCCAACTGTCCTGTCCTTTCCTAGTTTTCATAACCTTCCATTTCCTTCCTATTTATTGAGCCCGAGTTTTCCCATTCTTCTTAAATTTGCAGAGCAGTGTTTTGAGCTGAGATAGCAAGGAGGTTTTTTAACTTCCGTTCTCCTGAGTTTGCTCTGTTGTGACTGTCCTCCTGCTCTTCCCCTTGGTGCATTTCTTCTGCAGCCCAGACTTGATGTTACCTGGCAAATCCCCAGGGCACTGCTCGTTACATAAGCCTTGTACTCTCTGTTCTCTTGTCTTAGTTCATGCCACTTACCCTCTTTCCTGACTCTTCTCACATGCAGTTCATTTTGCAAGATTTTTACCTCAGATATTTTTGCATTCCAGTTCTAGAACTTTCCCCCTGCTTCACCTTTACCCTTACTGTGCAGAGACTCTTCATCTGTTCATTCATCAATAATGTTTTTATTGAAAATATCTCAATCGATACTTTAAAGTGAATTACAGCATGTGGGTTATCTCAGTTTGTTCCTTCTGGATTTCATAGGTGATAGGGATTATTCTTTAAACGGTAGGTGTTATCAGGCAGATAACTATTTGTGATTCTTTTACCTGTTGGTTCTTGGCTTACCATATCCATGGGGTTCGTCTAGAGTAGCCCTTCTTTCTGCAAATGCAGTGGCTTTAGTGGCTCAGTCAAATTCTGAAGGTTTAACTAGAGAATCTTCACCGCCGTTCTCTGCACTCATGGTGACACGTGACCTCTCGTGGTTTGTTTCCCACGGAGTCTGCATGGCTTCTTAACATCTCAGACTCCACGAATGTAGTCTCAACCTTGACCAAGGTCTTCTCAGTATCCCCTGAAAACTTTATTTCTGCAGCTGTTTCTTCTCCCTCCTATGTCCTTCAACTTCCCAGTCTTTTTCATCTCTGAACCCCTGCCAGTTGTCCTCTGCACAGGTGGCTGATATGCTTGGTTCTACTCTTGGATCACCAGCAAGAAAGTTTCTCCAGGCAGACATTAAGCACTTATCTAGAATGCCTCCCTTTACTACAGATTCCATTTCTTCTGTGGGTCTGCATGTGGTAGTGCATGCCTGTAATCCTAGCACTTGGAAAGCTCTAATGTGATTGTGATGTTCAAGGCCAGCCTGGGACATATAGAGAGTTCAAGGCCCACCTATATGTACCAAGACCTTGTCTTGGAAACATACCCATGCTGTTCATTTTAAAAGAAATGCTATTGTAAATAGATTCTTAAATTATTTTTATAGTTATTTGCTGCCAGGATGTAATAGCTGGGATAATAAGCATGTACAACCAGACACATGGCATGAATAACAACTTTGCATTAAAGAAGGTATATTCTCCATCTAATTGGCCATGAAAACAAGAAAATACATAAGAGAGTGGTAGAACTGTTTGTCGTTTTGCTTCATAAAAAATTCACTTTATCATCCAGACAGCATGCTTTAAAACAGTTTATTTTGCATTCAAGAACTAAGCACTTAATTTTCATTTCATATGTGGTTGGATTTTTAATTCCTTATATGCATAATTGGGATGCGTGGGGGCATATACATACGTATATATGTACGTGCACATGTGTGCATGTGTGTATATACTGATGTCCATGTACTTAATAAATAAAATACAAAATGATAATAAATGAGTCTGTATACCAAGTGGGTTTCTAGACTAGACTCAGGTCCTATCACAAGAGCCCTGCTCATACTGTCCTTTGATAACCTATGTATCCAGGAGAGAGAGAGTGTGTGTGTGTGTGTGTGTGTGTGTGTGTGTGTGTGTGTGTGTGTGTGTGTTCTGGGAATTGAACTCAGGTTCTATACTTGCTAGGTGAGCAGTCTTCTACTGAGCTGTTTCCCCAGCTCCAGTAAATTATTTCCCTGCTTGCCTCCGTTGTGCATGGAGTCTCTGCTCATCTGCGAGGATTTGGGAGCATGCGGCTTCTTTGTGCTTTGATTCACACCCTTTTCACCAGTAATGGGCTTGTGTTGACTCCAATTTGTTGACTGTCATTGCTATGACTGTGACGTGTTGGCTGCAGGACAGTCACCAAGAGTAAGCAGCATCCGCCTCTCATCCATGCCAGTATCGGCTTAGCTGAGAAAACACGCCGGCCGTGCTCCTCCCAGTTTCAGTCAATGTTTGATAAAATTGTCATTTTCCTGCCTCCTTAATTTATCTGAAAAAAAAAACGTGTTACAGGAAGGAGCCTTTCTCGGCATCATTACAAACGCTGCACGATGGAACACCTAAAATGTTGTTTCTGCAGAAGGTGTGCTGCTTTATGCCATTTGGATTGCACCTTCAGACGTTTGTCTTCACATGGTTTAAGGAAGGGAAAGTGAATGGTAATGGCGACATAGTCATCCCTTGAACACCTTTCACCAGATCCATTTTGACGGCTGGGACCATAAATACGACTACTGGATGGACGCTGACAGCCCTGACATTCACCCCATTGGGTGGTGTGACTTGACAGGGCATCCCTTGGAAGTACCGTATGGTAAGCAGCTTTCCCTTAGCCTGAATTCCACTCTTACTGTTGCTTATTCATGCTAATTACAGTCACTGGAAAACTAAGTAACAGGTAGGTGGGTTAATTAATAGCCGTTAAAGCTAACTCTGGGAGCCAGGTTTTCACGATTAAGGCTCAAAGGACACGGTTTATGGAGGTGAGAAGCAATAATCGCTATGAAGTAATTCCCATGTTTTCCAAAGCAATCTTTCTTTTCTCCTCTTTGGCTTGAAGAACTGAGCCAGCGTTTCTAAGTTCATCTAATCTTTGTCACTGAATTTGGATCAGTCTTTAAGAACCCCCATGCTAAGTGTAACTTACGCTATAAATTATGAAATTTTCCAAAAACTATTTTAAATCCCAGCGGTTTTAAGAATGAGAGCGAAGGGACACTCTTCTCTGGTGGGATCTGTGGTATTTCCGCCTTTCTGGCCACTTATAGCTAAGGAAGAAATTAAGCACTCTAAATTCTAATGAGCTTCCAAGTGAAATACCTTATTTCGTCTGGGGGAGTCCTGTGACCCAGTTAGGATGGCATGGCTAATCACTAGTTCCAGGCCTTGGTTCCAGCGTTCTCCATTATTGAGTTTGTCTTTTTCCCCTTGCTGGTTCTCCTTCGGCTTCTTGTGGGAGAAGCCTGAATGTTAATAGTGAGAGCTCCTTGTTGTGGGGTATGTGTACACTGCGTGAAGGTGTGTCTCTGTGATTGGTGTCATAAAAGGCTACACTGCCAATAGCTAGGCAGGAGGTCTAGGTGGGACTTCCAGGCAGAGAGAGGAAGTAGGAGGTAGAATCGAGCCTCATGAGAGAGACGCAAGGAGACACAGAGGAAGCAGGGTGGGCGGTATGGGACAGAACATAGATTAGTAGAAATGGGTTGATTTAAGTTGCAGGAGCTAGTTAAAAACAAGCCTAAGCTAAGGTCGTGCTTCCGTAATTAGTAAGCCCCCGTGGTCGTTAATTTGTGAGCGGATGGCCCTAAGGAAAATCTAACTATGTATGCCATTCAACACGGAGGCTTGAATATCCGAACATAAGGTCTGAGAAAGCTAAGGGACATTCTGGACAAGGAGCCAGACTTCCTTGGCCTGCAGTCTCTCCAGCAGACTGATGCTCGGTGGTATGCAGAGGCGTGGCTATTGGCCGACATGGCGGTTTAAGGTTTTTGTCATGTGATCAGAGAACACTGTGGATGCTTATTGAAGTCAGGTGCAGAGACAGGAAGCCTCTAAAAAGGGGGAGTATGCTTAAAAATGTACTTAGGTGCTGAAGAAAGAAAAGAAAATGGGTATAGACAGTTGCTAAAAATACCAATAGCTTAAAAACAGAGAAGACTTTAAAGAAAGAAATAAAGTAATATAAGAAGAGCAAGCCACGGAAAGATTGGAGGTACACAGGATGTCTGGATCCTGTACGGCGCTTCGTTGACTTTGAATTTTTTAAATGTTAATGTGTAAAAAAGCAGCAGATGCTGAGAGACACTGGCTTATAGAAACTGATAGATTAAGCCAATCCATATGTTTTAAGGATGTCTTAACATCAAAATGAAAGTCAGAAAACATGTTGAGTTTGGGGGAGACGTTATGCCTTTGTTTCCTCAGGAAACAAAAGTTATGGTTCTTTTCAAGATTAATGAGGGCCAGATTTGATTGGGGGAGGCCTCCTGAAAATCTTGACTACAAACATGAAAAGAAAACAAGAAGGATTATGGGACAGGTGACATATATGCTCTACTGTGGGACAGCTCTCAGACTGGATAAAACAACAAATCTTGTAGGCTACAGAATCCTCATTGATGGGAGATGTCATTCTGTAAATATGTCTGTCTTATTGGTTGATGAATGAAGCACTGTTGGCCCATAAGGAAGCAAGATAAGTGAGACTAGGAGTCAAGGAGGATTCTGGGAAATGTACTCAGGAGTAGAGTCGCCATGTGATCTCAGAAAGAGAAGATGCATGAGGCTGCATCCTCGGTAAGATAAGTCCTTGTAAAAGTATATAGATTAGTAATTGTGGGTTAATAATTAAGTCAGAGCTAGCCATTGAGAAACCATAGCAAATGGCCAAAAGCTTCAGAATTAATATAGTGTCTCGTGTGTTATTTGGGGGCGAAGACAGCAGTGGGACCCAGGCGGCTGGTGGGAAAAGTACAGGTTACACCTCATGACTTACTATTACATGCCTTCCTCATATGCGTCATGGATAGAGGTTTGGTTATACAAAGACACCTTAGCCCTCAGCTGGTGTCCAGTGCCCGTGTGATGAGGAGTGAGGAGCAGCTCTTGATCTGCAGTTTGGATTCCCAGCCACAGTTTACACAAACAACCTTTTTGTTTCCATTTTGCTAGTGTCATTTTATCTCATTGCAGAAAGTGAGCCGAGAGAGACTACGGGCTCTCCATGGCCCTTTCAAGGCTCCCAGATGTCTTCCATACCCATGGATGGTCATGGCACAGATGAGGGTCCTGTCACAGATGCTGCCTCCCTCAATCAAGAGTTGGGTAGTCCTTCAAGAGTAACACTACACCAGATAGTCATTTGGGAGGCTGCACGGCAGATAGCTATCCCATCTGCACAAGTGTGGCTGCGCATGTCAGCCCTGCCCCCGGGTAGTCCTTCCCAGTGTCCTGCCTCTAGTGCTTGGAACCCGAGTCTATGTCTCCTCCCTGACTCTGGCTTTGCCCACTTTGTCACCTGGGTGCCTACTGTCTAGTGTTGACTCAGTCCGTTTCCCACAGGCTAAAGGAATTCTACTGGCCATGTTCAGCATAGAGTTCCATGACACCTGTTCTACATCTCCTAGAAGTGAGGTTCTCAGAGTATACAGGGACACACAGGATTGCCTTGTAGTGTGTGTGTGTGTGTGTGTGTGTGTGTGTGTGTGTGTGTGTGCACGCACACACAAATAGGTAGGTATTGTTCTTCGGATTCCGTCTACCTTGGCCTTTGAGACAGCATCTCTCATGAGCCTGGAATTCATCAAGTAGTTTAGAATGGCTAGGTAGTAATCTTCAGGGATCCACCGGTTTCTTCCTCCCAGTGCTGGGATAACAAGCATGTCCCACCATACTCTGGTTCTCTGTATGGGTTCGGTGAGCTAAATTCATGTGAGGCAAGCACTTTACATACTGAACCATTTCCTCAGACCCTAGGATTGCCTTTTGACAGCGTCATTTTAGTAGCATCCTTTGGAATCTGTAACCACAGCCACATTTCATACCATGAAAAAAAGCTCATTTTACGTACTACATCATTCATTATTTACAGCAATTATCAATTCCATTGGAAAGCCTTGTGTCCAGCATCTGTTGCATTAGCCAAGTTTTAGAAATAAGGCAGTACACTTCAAAGCTAGACAGCCCTGGGTTTAGGTTTCTGACTGACCCAGAAAGCTACTTTACCCCCAAGCCTTACAGGTTTGGGGAGAATAAATTACAAAGTCCAAGCAAGGACTCAAGGCACAGGTGTTCCTTGGGCCTCCTCAGTGTTTTTCATTGGCCCAGAAAATTAATAAGATGTGTTTTCCTCCTCCATACTCTTTATAGTCATACTGTGTAGAAAGGACTTTCTGATCACTGAGTGGATGGATATTGATTGACATTTAGGACAATTCAAAGCATTTAGAATTGATTATTGGTTTGGGAACATGATAAGCAAATGCCATAAACCAAATTCGGCTGAGAACTAGCTTCGCTATCTTCTAAATAAAAACCAGAATACATTATGAATGTCGAGTCAAATAAAACTACCCCCATCTGTTTGTTTAAAGATTTCTAACCAGAAATCAGGTAAAATAGGCATGATCGGACTTCACTTCCGTCCTCTCCTGCCACCTCCTTCTCCTCTGTCCCCCTCACTCCTTCTGGTTCATTCCCCAGTGTTCCGCATGTGCAAGGCAACCTCTCCACCACAGATGTGCACCCCTAGGTCCCCATCTTTTATTTGTGATTTAGGCAATGAGCCTTCCTTAGGCCTCCGGCTACCTCTCTTCTCGGTCTTAGTTTTGGCTCCTTGTCTTTCCTGTTGTCTGTTCCTTGTACTTGGTGCTAATCTTATCTAACCTTTGAGCGCTGACTAACAAAGAATCCAGTGTCAAGCTGCCTCGATCAGTACCACCTGCAACAGTAGCTCTGCAGGCACCTTGCGCATACACAAACACACATGCAATTTGAAATCTGAAAATAGCTGGACATTGGTGGCACACGCTTTTAATCCCAGCACTTGGGAGGCAGAGGCAGGGGGATCTCTGTGAGTTTGAGGCCAGCCTGGTCTACAGAGCGAGTTCCAGGACAGGCTCCAAAACAATACAGAGAAACCCTGTCTTGAAAAACCAAAATAAATAAATAAGAAAAAATAAAACTTTAAAAAAAGGAGCCAGGCAACAAGAAAATCCTCTCTTGTGAATCAGACTTAAACAAAATAAAATGTGTTGGAATGAAACTTCTTTGTAATGTGTTGAGGTCAGAATAAAAACAGGCAATAAAAATGTGATGAAACCCAGTACCTCTAATAGGTACAGTGGAGATGGGGGGAAATCTGGTGGTTTTAACAGCATGCAGATGTGGGCTATCCCTGGCAACCCTCAGACCTCTGAATCAGCATGCACACAACTCTGAAATGATGGAGTCCACACACCGTGACAAGAGCTGGCGGAATGGGAAATGGTGTGGTGGAGTATGTACTGCCATGGTAGTGCTATCCCTTCTACAAAGAGCCACAAGGAATGTTCTGGAGCATTACACGTGAGGGGCCATTGCATCAGATACGGTGTGCCTCCTACTTCTTATGTTTCCACTTAGAAAAAAAACCACAAAATTCCTCTCCTTGTTTGGGTACTATATAGAAACAAGATTACATAGATCCAGGAAAGATTATTTAATCCATCTTCCCAGAAAATGCCCATCAACCTAGAAAGGTACTTTATCCTTGAGATTCATCAAAGATTGGGATGAAGGACATAAAGTGTGCTTATTCTATCTAGAGGTAGG